ATTCGAGCCCAAATAGCGGAAGCAGCTAACTTCTCCATTGGGTTGACCGCTGATAAACAGTGGTTGTGCTCAGCCAAGTTGCGTAGTCAGGAACTTCGTTTTGCGTATATTAATTGTCAGACCAAGAGTTGCAGCGAAGCTGGTGATTCGGTCTAGCGTTGGCTGCAGTGACTGAGGGGTAGTACCAAGTACGACAATGTCATCGGCATACTCTAAGTCAGGTACTCTGAATTAGGGCTCATTTCACATCCACCGTCAGATAGAATTGACTGCTGCATCACCCAGTCAATCAAGAAGTTTTAGAGAACTGAGGGGAGAGGGCATCCTTGTCGAACTCCACGAGCCAGTGGACAAGAATCGGACTCTTCACCAAGGGGTCTGACTCGGGCTGATGTTATGCAATAATAGGCTTTGGTCAGATTGAGCAAGGGGGCTGTTCCAACCATATACTCGTCTGGCACATACAACATAAAATCTACGTCTTGGCGGAGGCTATGGTCCACCCCAATGTACATTACCTTCGTTCTTTTCTTACTTTTTTTTAATAATCTGTAAAGGCTGCCTCGGATTTCTGCATGTTTCGTAGCCTCTGCAGGCACCTAAATTCTTCATCTACTACTCCACGCTGGGCTGACTGCGTGGTCTGAATTATCGCAAAATTGCATGATGTATGCATATTATGGCAGAACCGGTGGCCCTTGTCACTAGTTAGGAAGGAGAGTTGTCTGGAATTCTTTCCGGGTTCATCAGGGTTGTGGACATCATCATTGCTGTATCGCATGGTGAATTGGATTCATTGAAGCTGGTCCACCACCCCGGTGTCGTCTATGTAAAGCGACACCATTGACTTTGCGAGGCTGTGGTGTCTCAGATAGGACAAGTGCACGTGGAGGTAGATGATTGCCCCACCTCTTGCCTCTGCTTATCCACGGTGTACAGTCACACCGCTGAACTAAAGAGCATTTTCTGCCAAACGATCCGGTCTAAGATACAACAAATTATCGATCAATCAGTTTTACACGGGGTCATTCTGAGGACGAAGTTGTTGATAAACGAGGCCTCCGTCAAGAAAATTCCTTCATATGGATGTGAAATATACCTCGTGCGCACTACCCGGGGGTTTTGAGGGTGTTTGTGTTCCTAGGCCCAGGCTAAGTGCAGCGCCGTTCCCTCACTCTTCTGAGATTTAAGAATTGGGTGGTTATGCAACGCCACGCTCCAGCAAACCATGGTCAC